AAAGTAGGATATGAAGTCCATGAATGAGACTCCCAGAATGGCCTAGAGATCAGCCAGCATGGTGGTCTTGACACTATGTTATTACAAATACTTTTTTCAAATGGATTCTTACACATTCTCTAAAACATAAAAGGAAACCTCTAGCTGAAGGCCCATATCTCCAAACCTACCCACACTTTGACTTTGTCTAAATCTTCCCTCTTTCTTAAAGCCTCTTGTTATAGCAACTGTCATGGCGTGGGCTTTGGAGTTGGACTGACTGTGTTTGGGTAAAGTAGCTGCCAGAACAAGCAACTGCAAAATCTCAGTGGCCTAACACAGTGAAAGTTCATTTCCCATTCATGCCCCCATCCACAGCAGGTGAGCAGGGGCGCTCTGCTCCACGCAGCCATTCGGGTCCCAGCTCCCTCAGCCAGAGTGGCCCCACCATTCCTTAGGGCTTGGAGGTCTCTGCTGGTTCCTCTGTGAACAGCCAGCCTACTTGGAAAGGGAGTGAGTGAGGAGAAGGCACCCAAACCCTTAACACTCGTCCCACTGCCTCTCACACCCCTTTACTAAGAGGCAGTCAATGACCCCACCCAGATGCAGGGCACTGAGAAATGGGACCTGGCAGTACGGCCAGGAAAAGGAGGAGAACCTAAAAATTGTGAGCATGAGCGGGCTGCACAGTTCCACTGGATCCCATATGGCTTCCGGGTACATTTCTCAACTGTAGAGTTTTCTGCTCTTATGGAAATTCATAGGATGGCTGCACAGATGTCTGATACATACTTAGCAGTCAACCAGTATTCATTGCATGTCTCTTCTCCCTAAACCCGGTCTTTCAACATGCAGCAGAGGTGCTGACATGACCATCTTTGCATTTCCTCTACTAAGAGCTCGAACAGAGGAGCAGTTAAGAGAAGGGCGCTGGAGTCCAGCTGCCTGGGTGGGAGTCCTGGTCCTCCCAGATGCCAATGGTGTGAGCTCGGGAAAGCCCTTATGGCCCTGTGCCCCAGGTTCCTCATCTGCCCAAAAGAGAAGTCAAAACACAGCACCTGTCTCATGGGGTCGTGGTGGGGACAAAAAGAGTCCCTGTGTGCCCAGTTCTTAGGTTAGTGTGTGGCGTTTTGTAACTATGAGGTTTGGGATGCCTACTTTTATTATTATACAGTGACCAACACACAGCAGAAACTCAGTTTAAAACATGAGCACTGTCTGTGTTATGCATTACAAGTCATGTTCACATGTGTTAGGTTCATGAAGCTTAGCTCAATGTGTTTGTGCAGTGAATGACCCCTCACTGCACGGCGTCAGCTGTCACATGAGCCCTCAGGTTGCTTTCCATCTAGGCCTTTCCTAGACTCACACGTGGAAAAGACAAACGTTTCATGGTTAAAGCCGTTACTTTGAAACCGGTTGGGTAATGTGCTTCTGCAGGGGGCCCAGGCCACACTGTGCACTGCGGGTCTCCTGGCCTGTTCCTCTCCCAGCAGAGGCCCCCACTCTCTGGTTCCCCAAAACTGAAATAAGAAATCTATGCAGAGACTCCTGCAGCAACGCCTAGCAGTGCATGATAGGAAAGCTGCCTCTTTTCCCACTGGGCTCCTGAATATCTGAGAAGGAAAAGAGAAAATTTCCTCCCAAATAGCATCCTTTTAGTTTCTGCACATTAATTCCAAGAAACTGGTCACCACTCCAAGTGTGACAACAAGAGGGTCTGTTGGGTATTAGCAAGGCTCCTTCAGAGGCAGCTCCAATTGCTTCGGCTGGGGCAGGATTGCCCTAGGGACCAAGGCCGCATCCAAGAGCTGCCCTTCCATGCCCAGGGGCCTCCTGCTTACTGGGCAGCAGGACGGGTGCCTGGGAGGTCCTGGTGCTCTTTCCTTACTCCAGCTCCTCTGCGGTCTTGAGCCTATAAATACGTGCTGTAGCCCTCGGGGCATCTTGTACCCCTGCCTTCCTGTGGCCCCTCCATCCCTTTGGCCTAGCAATTCTCACACGTTTTCTTGCTGTACTCTTTGCCCCTTCAGAGCCATCAACCTTGCGTCTGTGGGGCCTGATGGAGCGTCTAGCCCATAACAAAGGCTTAATTGATACTTAGTTTTAAATCAACAAAGGCACCGTTGTACTTAGCCGCTTCGCTTTCACACCTGAGCTGTGAGATTCAGAGTCCATTCAGTGGAGCTGTTGGCTTAGGGCTCTGAAGTCGGGCAGACAAACCCTCCCCCGGTGTTAGAGAGACTTGGGCAAGTTATGTAAGGCCTGGTTTTCTCATCTGTAAAAGAGGGTTTCTACTACCAGGGTTGTCGCGGGGCTGAAGTGGGATGATTTCTGTGTCGTGGTGGGGTTTCAGCGGTTGTGAGCAGCTACAATTTCGTCTGATTGGAACTACAACAGGAGCTGCTGAAACAGTAGCAGCTCCCAGGACGGGTGGCGGGGCTGGCGAGCCAGGCTCCGAGGCTCTGCAGCCTGGGTCAACACCCAAATCACACCCAGAGCTGGTCCTCTGGGGGCCCCTGCGGCCACTGCTGCCGTCTGCTGCACTGCTGGCCTCAGACACAGTGGCTCCAGCCACACCGCCCTCTTCACCAGCTCCAACACCCTCCTTCCCAAACCTGGAGCCAGTCACCCAGTCATTCCTGCCCATTCTGCTCTCAAAACGTATCTCACAGCCGTCCCTTCTCTCCATCTCCACTGCTTGGTCCGGGCCACCGTCACCCTGGTAGTGCAGTGCCTCCCAACAGGGTGCCAGCCTCCTCTCAAGCTCCCCTCCAGTCCCCCTGCCACTCCGAGGCCACAGAGGGCTCCAGAAAATGCGAACCACTCCACGTCCTCCCCTTACTCAAAACCCTCTCATAGTTTCCCCCTTCATCCAAAAAAAAAGAAAAAACAATCCAAGTAACAAAATCACTACCATGGCCCCTAAGATGCTGGGTGACCTGCCCTTTACTCCCCCTCCAGCTCCGTGCAGCCCACTCCTTCCTTGACTCGTGCCATCCCACCCCACTGGCCTCCTTTCAATTCTGTGGGCACGCCACATTTTTTCTGCTGTGCTATCACGGCACATGCTTATCCCTCTGCCTGAAACACTTTCCCACTACTTAAAAAAACTTTAAAAGTGGTAGAATGTATTACACATAAAGTACACAAAATATACACATATGCATTGCATGTGCACACATGCACATGCACACACACCCACACACACCGACTTCAAAGCATTATGAGTCTGGCACCCAGCTAAGAATGAGAAGATCCTGCCATACTGCTCCCCAGTTTTTTCTTGCACCATCCCAAGATTGCCATTGACCTGACATTTGGAATCATTATTTCTTTACTTTTATTTTTGTAGTTTTACAATCTACATGTAATTCCCCCCAAAAATTTTTAATCTAGCATATTTAAAATTTTTATATATGACATATCATGTATTTTCTTTTTGTTACTGGCTTGTTTTGTTCACAAAATTTTTGGTTATCAAAAATGTTATGTTTTGTGAGATTTTGTCATGTGTTTGCAGATTGCTATGGTTCATTCATGCTTGTGGCTATAGTGTTTTGTATTATTCCATATTACAACTATTCCACAATATGCTCATCCATTCTATTGTCAGTGGGCATCTGGGTTGTTTCCCATTTGGAGCTGTTGTGAGCACTGCTACCATGGACACTGGGTAAATGTATCTTAAGGCAGATGGGAAAAAGATTTTAGAGGAATTTTCTAGAAAGAGGTTTTCTGCGTTGTAAGTTAGGAGCATGTCCAACCTTAGGAGGTGATGGTGAGCTCTTTTCCAGGATGGTGGTGCAAATTAAATTCCCACCGTAGTGGCATGAGAGCGCGCACTGCTGATCGTCACTCGTTCTTACCAAACTTGTTAACTTTTAGCCTACCTGGGGATTGTGTGAGCGCCACCCAAGTACTGCGCCCTGCTCCCAGCTGTGACCCTCACAACAGCCCTGAGATGTCAATGCCACATTCCCATTTTTCAGATAAGAAAGCCAAGGTCTAACTGGTTTAAATCATTAGCAAATTGTGCTGTCCTCAAGACCAGGTCTATGCAACCTGAACCTATGCTTTTTTTCTTCAGTGTCACATGCTGGCTCTGGAGAGGTTTGTGGGCCCTTACTGGGTACTGGGGGGTAACTGAACCATGGTTCACTTGAGGGCAGAACTCTCTTGGGGAGCTTAGCACCATGGCCTCACTTTGGTACACACTGGAATTACCCCATCCTCATCCCAAACCCACTGAACTGGAACTGACAGTGGTGGGCATCTAGTAGATGTGAAGTGGTATCTCACTGTGGCTTTGATTTGCATGTCTCTGTTGACTAATGATGTCGAGCATCGTGTCATTAGCTTCCTGGTCATTTGCATTTTCTTTGGCATCTGTTCACTCAAGTCTGTTACTCATTTTTAATTGGGTTGTCTGTCTTCTTACTGACTTGATAGAGTTCTTTATATATTGTGAAATCAAGTCCTTTGCAAATATGTTCTGTTGGCCTGTGGCTTGTCTTCTCATTTTCTGATGGCGTTCTCTGAAGAGCAGAACACTTCATTTTGATGAGATCGAAGGGATCATTTTCTTTTCCTTTTATGGTTAGTGTTTTTTGTGTCTTACAACTTTGCCTAACCCACGATGGCAAAGAGTTTCTCATGGTAGGTACATGAATTTTTAACACATTTCCCAGTTGGTTCTGCTGTGTCCCAAAGTGGGAGGAGCCCAGACATGATGCTTACCCTAGTTCGGAGTTAGACCTGAGTTCAACGCCCAGGTTTGCCACTTACTGAGAGAATCACTTTGTCTCTCTGAGCCTGTTTCTTTGTCTGCAAAATGAAGTAAAAAAAGGCCCCATTCACATATTTGTTAGAAGGGTTCAGTGAAATAAAGCTCAAACATAACTTCGCAAATGCCTATCATGAAGAGAGTGCTGTATAAAAGCATTTTTTGTTATGCCCCAGTGGGTTGCAAGCAGCCGGGTGGGGCAGAAGGAATAACACAGTCTGTTGTTTGTTTTCAGTACATCAAGGCCTTTTACAATGAATCGTGGGAACGAAGGCATGGACGTCCAATAGACCCGGATATGCTGACTCTGCTCTGGTCGGTGACAGTGTCCATATTCGCCATCGGTGGACTTGTGGGGACGTTGATGGTGAAGATGATCGGAAAGGTTCTTGGGAGGTCAGTGGGGGCCATCTCTGTTTAGGGGTCCACTCTGTAATGTTCACAATGTCTGGGTCATAGTCAGGATTGTGGGAGAAAACAGAACCCCACTCAGACAGTCCAGCTGGAGAGATTTTAATGCTAGCAGGGCAGGGGGAGGAGGCGGGCCACTGAGGCCAAGGAGAAGTGACACCACGAATGATGGCTGACAAGCAGCAGCTGAGGACGTGCAGGGGCAGGACTGTGTCAGGGCCCTTCGTCCAAACAGGGAGGCGCAGGGGAGAAATACCGTGGCTTCTCCTCCCCACCCCCGCTCCCGTCTGCTGCGGAGCCTGCCGTGGTTCAAAGCCATGTGGAAGCCAGAAACACCAGAGCCCTGTTGGTGCAGCCCAGTAGCTTCGGCTCCCGGGGCTCGGAGCAGGGCTGGAGGAGCAGGTGGATCGGGTGTGGGGCCAGCAGGGGCAGTCAGCACGGTGTCTTGTAAGTACATACAGATGTGCTTAAAAAGCAGACTCTTAGACAGTGTTCCGTTACATGCCTGGTTGATATTTTACTTGTCCAGTCCCCTGTGGATAGACATTTAGGCTATTTCAAATCTTTTACAGCATAAATATGCTGTAGGGAGTATCAAAGCTTCCTGTTGAAATTGCCCATCCAGGCCTTCTCCAACCACACCCACTTCACCCCCCTAGCCTCATTTCTCACTTATTTTGGTCATGAAGACTTCTCTCAGATCAGATGGATTTATCGTAAATTCTCGAAACGTCTTCTCTGTACCCTTGCTTATAACTTCCTGGGGGATACTGAGGTGTTACAGGGAAAGCAGAGGCCCTGGAACATTCATGTCTGAACCGGGATCATGTCCTCCACTTGCTGGCTCTGTGCCTGTAGCCAAGTTGTGCAATGCATTTGAACCTCAGCTTCCTCATCTGTGGACTGGAGACAGTTGTTCCCACCCCACAGGGAAAGGTAAAATGACTGGATTAAACGAATGGGGGCGGAATGGCCTCAGCAGATGCAGCTCGGTGAAGAGGATGCCATTGGCCATCCTCCTCCTTGCTTGACACCCCTGCCCCGTAAGTGCACAACCTGGCTCCATGTTGCGCTGACCTGAACTGGAGAGGAGATCCATCAGACCCCAGGGAATCCCCCCACTCCCTGGGGGGAAGCCCCCGCCCAACCCGTTACACTCAGCCTCTCACCCCCAGCCAGGAGCGCAGTAGAACTGACAGTGCTTCAGAGCAGATTTTTGCAGGGCTGGGACAGAAAGCCATCCCGAAAGCATCCATGCTGCGCTCATGCAAGTCTGAGGCACCCCAGTGAGGTAGGGGAAGGGCTGACATTTTCCTTGTCCCTGAGGCCACTTCCAGGGCATTAACTAGGGGGAACTCAGGCCCAGGGAGTATAATGATGGCATCATGGAGGGAGCACTGCCATTTTCTGAGGCCCTGTTTCTGAGGGTTCCAGGCACTCACACACACTCTCCTGTTTGCTTTTCTCCACCGTGGGGGTCTTAGATGGGGAATGGGAGTTGAAAGCCTACACAGCGCCTGAGCTCAGGTTGGAACCCATGCCTGACAGCCACAGCACGGGGAGCGTCCCACTATGCCAGGCAGATCTTAATTAGGGGCCTGCTGGCAACAGCATTGTAAAGTCCATTGTTGCTTCACAACATTAGGGGACTGGCTGGCCCCCAGGTGGGCACCACTGGCAGAGTGCCTGAGACAATGTTGTTAGGCCTCTGGCCCCAGCCAGACTCTGACCCCAGTCCTCTTCCCCTCCTAGGTGGCTCTATGGCCTGTGACGTATACTGGTCTTTATCTGGCCATGGCACTTATACCCCGAGGCTCCATTAGAAGGCTTTGAACCCAAACAGATGGTTCAGGAAAAGCCATACCCGAGCCCGGGTCAGGATGCCACAGCCCAGCAGGTCCTGACTCCCCAGCCTGCAGGGTGTGTGACGTGGGACTTCGCCCCCTCAGCTCTCAGTCTGCGCCCCTCCCACGTGTGAAAGGAAGGCAAGGACCATGGCTTCCCTGCCTCCACAGCATCCAAAAGAGCAAAGGAAAACCAGAGAGAAAACGCAGTGGAAAGATCCTGAATTCCTGAGCGAGGGAGGGGGCCTGGGCCGCACGGACTGGATCAGGGTGATGGTTGTCATGCCCTCGGCAGCTGCCCACCCTTCCTCATCACGCTGGGAGTGAGGTGGGACTGGATGAAGTCTCCGCCTGCAGCCTTGCTCTGCTGGGTGCAACAGGAGCAAACCCCGACGGAGGCGGCGACTGTTCAGTCCCCTCCGCAGTAGGGCAGCGCTTGGCACTGACGTCTCACAACTCTGTTACCGTGGCTCTTCTACAAGTGATGAACCCGGGCACTGAGAGCCCCAGCAGCTTGCCCAAGGTCGCCGAGAATGAGGTTGACCGTCGTTCAGTTGCAGTTTGTCTGCCCGCAGGGCTGAGCTCTTCCTGTCACACGGTGCCGGTGCCGACTGAGCAGTTTCTTGGTGCCATATTCACCTGCCTCGGGGGCTGTCCAGGAGGAAGACGAGGCGGGCTCCAGGCGTGAGGCTGGGGTAGGGTCCCACAGGAGGGTGCAAATGTGACTGGGGCGAGGCCGGGGGAGCTGGGGATCCTCAGAGTCAGGTGGGCCTGCTCCCTGGCAAGCCCAGCGTGGAGCTGCGCCTCATAGGGCATGTTGAATTCGTCTGTGATCTGCGAGCAGGGCAGGGGCAGGGGGCACAAGGGCCCAGGAATGGTCTCTGGAGAGGAGCCGCCCCATTATCCCCTCAGGGATGCAGGTCCTTTGACTCCTGGAGTGTCCTGCTTGGAGAACTCTGGGCTATAGAGAATCCTGGTTGAATCTGCCCCTTATTTGGGGCCGTCTATTCTCTGCTGTCATGGCTCTGTGACTCCTTCTCTTATGAGACAGGATGGTGACCCTGCTGGCGCATGGATGCTCTGATGCTCACAGCCCATGGGCCACGTGTGAGTTACTCAAACTCCCTGTGTGTCACTTAGTTCATGGTAAGATGAAGATAAAATACTGGCTAAGTCAGGGTGGCGTGAAGATCAAGGAGATGGCAGAATGAAAGTGTTCATGGAGTCAGCCCCTGACTTACATTCGTTCTTCCTCCCCACCATCACCAGCTCCTCCTGGGGAGCTTCCTTCCATCACTCGGCAGAGCCAATTATGATATGCCCATTAAATTGCACTGAAATTGGGCTCTTTGCATGTATCATTTTTTCTAGTTCTTTCCTCTGGAGCAGAGCAGAGAGAAAAAAATATGCAGGAAGCCACCAGGAGACCCACACAGGCTGGGAAACCAGATCCTTGGTCAGAGACTTGAGCAACCCCTGTCACCAGGGTCCCCCCTGCAGCAGACTCTCCTGAGCACCTGCCGAGAGCCGGGCACTGACTCTGGCACCTGGGTGTCATGGCAAACGAGAGAGCCCACCGCTGCTGCCTGGGCTGGGGCGCTGGCAGGAGGCGGGCCCCGAGCTGCTCCCTCTGCAAGTCACCACGCCCACGCGGGGCTGCGAGCGGGGACTAGGCAGCTGGGGAGCCCCTGATTTCCAAATCTGTAAAGCTCGGATTCGCAAGGCCACCTCGAGGAGCAGCCATGCAGGCTGAACGGTAATATTTACAAAATGTCCGATGTTGGTCAGGAGGCTTTTTGAATACCTATAAGAGGAGCCCACATCAAACTAGCTTAGGTCCAAAAGGGAGTTAACTGGCTCACATTACGGCAGTGTAATTGGGATGAACCCAGTAGCTCACATGAGATGGTGAGAAGTCCGTTTTCTCTGTCTCAGCTCTGCCTTGCTCTGCGTTGGCTTCATGCACAGTCTGTCCCTCCCCGTGTGGGGCAAATGGCCACAGAGCTCAGGGTGACATGGCTCCTGCTTGTCCTCAGCACAGACTGCTCCCAGGACCTCCAGTAAAAGTCCCAGGCCTGAATCTCACTTCCCCGAGTGAGGTTGCCTAGCCTCAGGGCTTCTCAACCAGGAGCAGTCTTGTCCCATCAGGGCACATTTGACAACGTCTGGAGACATTTCTGGTTGTCACAGCTTGGGGGCTGCCACTGGCATCTAGTAGAGGCCAAGGATGCTGCCTGGCAATGCACAGGACAGCCCCCCACCATGAGGAATTTCTCGGCCCCAAATGTTAATAGTGTGCAGGTTGAAAATTCCTGGTGAGTAACTTTCTAATGCTCTTTCAAGTAATTGTATCATGTTCTCATTTCTGATGCCACCGTGGGGTAGAGATGTGACCACCACCAGCCCCCATGCTAAGGGCAAGGGTGGGGAGTTTCTTGGACAACCCCCTGAGCCACTGAGAACAGCGGGTAGCCACCGAGCAAGGCCAGCAGCCAGCACCCTATGCATCATGCCGGTCAAATGGCAGGTCCTCAAAGTATTATTTCTCTCCTCATTCGCTACTCAATTTTTTAAAATGTGTCTTGATATGTAGTAGTAGGAAAGAGCATTCGCTCTCTTGACGTCTGCTGGAGGAGTCTGCAACGCATGGGCAAGGATGTATCAGCTTGGGCCCCAGTCAGAGTGCCATTGCTGGGAGGCTTGAACAGCAGAAATCTATCCTCACAGTTGGGGAGGCTGGAAGTCCAAGGTCAAGGTGCCAGCAGGGATGGTTGCTCCTGAGGTCTTTCTCTTTGGCTCGTAGATGGTGTCCTCTCTCTGTGTCCTCGCCTGGCCTGGTCTACGCAACAGCAGTCCTGGGGACTATTCCTCTCCTTGTAAGAACACTAGTCCTACAGGATCAGGACCCCACCCTCATGACCCCATTTAATCTTAATCACCTCCTTAAAGGCTCTGTCTCCAAATAGAGTCATGCTGGGGTTCAGGCTTCAACACAGGAATTCGGGGACACCCTGTTCAGTCCACAATGGAGCATGTCCACTGCTTGCTGACCATCGTTTTTCAGGTTGGACTTGTCTTAGGAAGTGGAGGTTTCTGGAAGCAGAGGCTGCTGCAGGGCTGGGGACACACACGTTTGGTTAA